TGAATGATCTTAATGCAATAACCTTTCCTCTTAGTACTGCCTTCATAGTATCCCAGAGAGTTTTGATACATTGTATCAGAGTTCTCATTTACCTCTAATAATTTTTTAATCTCCTCCCTGATGTATTCTATTATCCATATGTCATTCAGTAGCATATTATTTAGTCTCCAGGTGTTGGAATAGCTTCTATTTTTAATTTTATCATTGGTTTCTAATTTAATTCCATTTTGGTCAGATAAAATGCAAGGTAGATATCTCTATTTTTTTTTTTTTTTTGGTAATTTGCCAAAACTTGCTCTGTGGCATAATAAAATGATCTATTTTGGAGAAGGATCCATGTGTTGCTGAGAAAAAATATATTCCCTCATTTTTGGATGGAATATTCTATATATGTCTGTTAAGTATCAATTATTATTTTTTGAGTTCTGTATTTTCCTTGTTTAGTTTTTGTTTGGAAGATCTATCCAGTGGTGAGAGAGGTGTGTTAACATCACCCAGTATTATTGTGTTTTGGTCTATTTGATTCTTGAAGTTCAGAAGGGTTTGTTTGATTACATAGATTCCCCATTGTTTGGGCCATAGATATTTATAATTGTTATGTCATGTTGACATGTGGTTCCCTTGAGTAATGTGAAATGTCCCTTTTTATCTCTTTTCACTAACTTTGGTTTGAAGTCCACTATTTTTTTTGTATGAGGATGGAAACCCCTGCTTGTTTATGCAGTTCATGTGAGTGATACATTTTTTTCCTCATCCTTCAGTCTGTGGGTATCTTTTCCTGTGAGATGAGTCTCTTGAAGGCAGCATATTGTTGGGTCATTTTAAAAAATCCAATCTGCCAGTCCGTGTCTCTTAATTAATGAGTTTAGGTCCTTCACATTCAGAGTTATTATTGAAATATACTTTGTATTCCCTGTCATTTTGGTTTACTTTTTGTATTTAACTTCACTTGGTTTCTCTTTGATTGGCCTTTTCTTTAGTGTAGTTCCTCCTTTTGAAGATTTTCATTGATGTTTTTCATTTCCTCCTCATGGAATATTTTGCCAAGAATGTTCTATAGAGCAAGATTTCTTGCTGTAAATTCATTTAACTTTTTTGTTTATCATGGAAGGTTTTTATTTCATCATCAAATCTGAAGGTTAATTTTGCTGGATATAAGATTCTTGTTTGGCATCCATTTTCTTTCAGAGCTTGGTTTATATTGTTCCAGAATCTTCTGGCCTTGAGGGTCTGCACTGAAAAATCTGCTTGGATCTGAATTTGTCTCCTCCTATATATAATCTGATTCTTCTTTCTTGCAGCCTTCAAAATTCTATACTTACTCTGTATGCTAGTCATTTTTATTATAATGTGCCTTGGTATAGATCTGTTGTACCTTTTTTTTTTTAAAGAGAGAGTGAGAGAGGAGAGAGAGAGAGAGAGAGAGAGAGAGAGAGAGAGAGAGAGAGAATTTTTAATATTTATTTTTTAGTTCTCGGCAGACACAACATCTTTGTTGGTATGTGGTGCTGAGGATCGAACCCGGGCCGCACGCATGCCAGGCGAGCGCGCTACCGCTTGAGCCACATTCCCAGCCCCCTGTTGTACCTTTTGTACATTTGGTAGGCCTCTTGTATTTGATTTTCCAATTCATTCTTTATGCTTGGGAAATTTTCTGATATTATCTCATTGAAGAGATTGTGCATTCCATTGGTTTGAATCTCTGGGCTTTCCTCTATCCCAGTAAATCTTAGATTTGGTCTTTTGATGTTATCTTATAATTCTTGGAAGTTCAGTTCATGATTTTTTACCATTGTCACTGTGTGGTCAACTTTATTTTCCAGATTGTATATATTGTCTTCATTATCTGAGGTTTTGTCTTCCAACTGATCTAGTCTGTTGATGATGCTGTCTATTAAGTTTTGTATTTGGTTTATTGTTTTCTTCATTTCAAAGATTTCTTTTTTCTTTTCTTTTTTTTTTCAAAATCGCTCTTTCTTGAAGTAATCTTTGGCTACTTGTATTTTCTCTTGTTTCTTTGTTGGAGTGATCAGTTTTTGCCTGTACTTGCTCACTTAGGTTATTTTTAAATTCACATATCAATTTAATTATGTACATTCTGAACTCCTTGTATGTCATTTCATCTACTGTGCTGTCAATGGATTCTATTAATAGAAAATCTTGTTTTCTGGAGGGGAGGCACTTTCCTCCCTTGTTTTTTCAGGTTGTCTATGAGTCTTCCTCTCTTCCAGTGCAGATCTGAGGTATTAAAGTTTCTACTCTATACTCTTGTAGTGTCCCTGAAGATTAGGAATATCTCACTTTAAGGGAGAGATCAATATTACAGCACCCAATGCAACTAATATGCAGCCATAAATCAATTAACTTCTATTTAGAGACTTACAGTTTTGCTGCTATAAACAGAAATGATGGTTATCCTCTACCATATAGCCAAAAGGTTTGCATAGAATTTACAGTTTCTAATAGTGGATGGGGGGGTGGATGTGATATTTTGAGGTAGGATGTGTGAATATAGAGGTATTAGATTATAGGACGAGTGAAAGGAGAATCAGTCAGAAATTGGCTGTTATCAGGAGAAAAAAAAAAATAGAAAGTGAGGCAACCCCCGACATGGCTTCCAGCTGCCTCTGCAACAGGATGGTGTTTGTTAATACACCTAGTAGTGATACCTCTGGTACAAATGGTCCCACAGTGACTTTGGTGATGATCTTCCAAGTCCTGGTTGTTGTCCCTAGATGGACATGCCACGTCCCTAGTTGGTATTGGCAGTAGCATCAAGCCTGTAGGTACCTTGCTATTGGGCTTTCAGGCCTCAGTCGGTGGAATCCACCCCAATTAAAGGTGGCAGAGGTGGCAGCGAAGGTAACTCAAAATAGTGGTGGAGGTGTCCCAAGATGGAGGCAACCACTTTCAGAGATGGGGCTAGAAGGATGGGCTGTGTGATAGCATTGGGTGGCCTATTTAGTGATGGCACTAAATAGCTGCCTCCGGGCCCTGTATGTTGTCCTACAATGAAGATTACCACATTGGAAGGCTATGGTGGTGGCTGCAGTGTACCAAGGTAGAGGTGATTTGGGTGCAGTCACAAGTTGGTGGATAGGGAACCGTGGCATGGTGTACCTCTCTTCATGAGCATGGTGGGTCCTTGCTCTGTGTGAGGCTGGGCACAGTGGGTTCCAGTCCAGGCTCCTGGTGAGGTGGCATGTCAATATAATTCATTTGACACAAAGGGAAACAGACGCTAATTCTATGACATTGTTCTGGTATCACAGTAATTTCTTTTTTTATTTTTTTCCTTTTTATTTAGTATTGGAGATTAAACTCAGGGGTACTTAACAACTGAGCCACATCCCCAGTCCTTCCTTGTATTTTAGTTAGAGACAGGGTCTCACTGAATTGCTCTTGGCCTTGCTGAATTGCTGAGGCTGCCTTTGAGTTTGTGATCCTCTTGCCTCAGACTCCCAAGCTGCTGGGATTACAGGTGTTTGCCACCACATTTCTCACTTAGACGTTTTTTAGATGTTTGTTATTATAAGAAGACATGTTGAAGAAATCAAAAACCAAACAGGAATTTATTTACTCTAGGAAAATACATTTATTTTGTATTAGATAAGAGAAGACTGATATGAAATAAGCTATATATATTTTAACTACAGATTTCAATCTTGAAAGCCATAATGGAATATTAAATCCATAGTAATGGAAATTATGTGGAGCTGATCAAAGAATGGGAATAACAGGATAACAGAAAATCTTGCTTATGAAGCAAGATTTTGTTTTGATAGCAATATCAAAAAAAAATAAGATTTCTAAAATTTGTGTATCAAAAACATTTTCCCAACTTGCTGTGTATCTTGTCACTGATAAAGTCAGACTGACTTAGTGAAATCCAAAAGAAAAACTAAACTAAGATTTCATTTAAAAACTTCCCACTCAAAGTAATACCTATTTGTGAGACCAACAATTAGCAACATCTACATTCCTAAACTGTGTTCCTGGCAGGATAGAACTAAATAAGCTGCATCATAAAGTTTGGGGTTATATTCAGTTCAGAAGGTTAAAGAATGGTATTTGATTACAGTGTCTGTTTAGCTATGACTTTGAGACAGGTGAACTTGTCTCAAAGTAAGGGAAATATCCATTGCATAGATACTTTGTTTAGCTCAAAATAGTCAGTGGAAAATAGCAGACAAAAAATTAGAGAAAAGAAAAAATGCAAGTTCCCATGATTGGTAATTGTGTTAGCCTCTCATTGCTATAACAAAATAACTAAAATGACAACCAATTTATAGAACTAATGATTTATTTTGGCTCATAGATGCTGAGATTTCAGTTCATGGTCTCTTGGACACATTGATTCTGGGCCTGTGGTGGCCCTGTGGTGGGGAGTGTGTGGCAGAGTGAAACTACTCATCTCATGACTAGCTGGAAGAGGCATGGAAGAGAGAGAGAAAGAAGGAGGGAGAAGGGGACAAAGGGATGGGTGGGCAGGGGCAAAATATAACCTTCATATCCACAGTGATCTACTTTCTCCAATTAGACCCAGTATCCTAATGTTTCCACCAACTACCAAGACAGCCACCACATAAGATCCTTTGGGGATCTTCTGAGATTCAAACTATTACAGTATTCTTTTTTTTTTTAAGAGAGAAGGGGCAAAATGATGTTTAGAAGATAAGATCATAGTGTAGGACTGATAATCTTTCATTTGGAGAGTATTATAAGCATAAATGAAGATGAGATTATGGATAAAGTTGAATGCCACACTATGGACTTTTATAATTTTCCTATAAATAAATGAGGCATATTAATGGCTTAATGCAGAGGAGTAATGTGATAAAAAAGGGCATTTATAAGAAGTCAGTCTAGTATAAGGGTGGATTTGGAGGGGATTAAGCCCAAGAATTAAAATAAGTCAAGTGAATAAAATAATGCTCCAAAGAAGTTCAGGAACATACAGAATAAGAGGTGACTTTTGAATCTGACAAGTAGACACTTACCAGTGAAACTATTATTTCTGCAGTTTAATGATTGGAAATAAGTCCATAGGTGATTAAAACTTCCCTTATAGGTAACAGTGGTAAGTTAACATTAAATTAGGAGAAAGATAGGTAGATAACTGAAAAAGAGCAGAAAGAAAATACTCTCAGTTGTTGAGATAGACCAGAAAGACTTCAACTTTGTTTGTATCTATTTAAATATTTTTTAAATTAAATACAGGAAGCTTAGAAACAATAAGTAAACACTGTTGAGCTTTATATATATATATATATACATACATATATAACATATATTTATATTACTTAAATATGATATTAAACTATTCATTATTTCAGAATTCAGATTAGCTTGAAGATATGATAATGATAATGGGGATGACAGAAAACTAGGAAATTTTTTGTACTTACTATATACCAATCTCTGTTCCAAGTACTTTCTCATGCATTACCTCATTTAATTGTTCCAACCACAACATTCTTATTTACCTATTTAAGTAGTAAAGTTACTTATTTATTTAATTGTATGTACTCTTATGTATCTTGAGGCTTATGTTTCTTATGTAGAATATTTTATAAACAGTCTTATATTTTAGTCTTCCTGACATAGGTAAAATTCAAACAAAAATCAAGAGCTATTTTTCTTATCAGAGAAACAATATTAATAGGATCTTTATTCTTATTTATTACTAACTTTATTCCTCTACTGATAAAAAATAAAGGTCAGGATCAAAATATATGAATCAAAATGTTCTGCTCCAATAGTCACAAGCCATGAGTTATAAAGAAGAAAATAATTTTTTTTGGTTTGTTATTCTGTAAAAATTGAGAATGAAATATCATACAGAAGACCATCCAGGGTGAAACTGCTTCAGGGAAATTCCTGAGGCTACTGCTGTCTGAGAGACTTTTTACTTCTCTCTTTCTGTTTTCTTGTCTGCAAAATGGAGTTAATAAGCTTATTCTAGACCTTAAATGACACAAAAGGCAAAAAGCACAGTAACATTCTTCAACAAATATTAGTATTGAATTTATATGAGAATTTCCATTTGTTTTAAATTTTAAAACCAGTAGGAAGAAAGAAAAAAAGAGAAAAATGTATTTATAATTATGGATTATAGACAATCATTTCTATCTTATTGGGTGAATTTCTAGTTATTTTCTTGTACAGTTTACAATTAACATATTCTCATATTCTAATCCAATGTTTCTTTCCTCCAACTAGAAGAGTTGGAAAAAAAAAGTTGTTGATTCTAAAAATTAAGTAGCCAAGTTTTAGTAAAATCTCTTGAATTTCAATTTCCTCAAAATTCATTGCAATTAAAAAATGAATAAAGAAAATTGGCTGTGGGTGAAAACTAGATGTACTAGCTTTTTTCTTACTGATTTCTGTTTGAAATCAATAAGTTTAGAGTTTGTTAATCATCATCATATGAATGATCACACAAATTGCTAACATGGAAATTCTTAAAACATAAGGTCATGAAATTTTTCATTTAAGATTAAATAATGAAGTAATACTTATAGAATGATATCAGAGAGATTAAGGTCATAGACTTAGTAAGTTGATGTTGTCTAATTGGAAATACAAGATTCTTGCTGTTCAGATATTTTGAAATTTTAATGAGTCATGTATACAAAATTAGAATGATATTTGCAGTGGGATTTAAATAGAAAAAAAAGGAAATAATTCTCACACTCGTAAGTATTCTATTATACTTTTAATAACTGCATTAAAGTAGAAGTTTACCATTAATTGAAGATTTACAGATAAATGGAAAGGAGGTAATCACATATAAAGTCAGAATGTAAAACTATATTTTAATATGACTACTTTGTTAGTAATGTCATTGTTCAGTAAGCCTTCTTTACCAGATTATGCTAGTAACTTTTTTTTCTGTTGCTATTTGTGATTACACATTAAATAATTACCCTCTGGAATCAAATTTGATGTAAAAATAATGAAAATAGTTTATATTTATTATAAAACATGGTAAGAAAATTTTCTACGATCTCAAATATGATATTTGTACATTATACATACATATATATATATATATATATATATATATATATATATATATATATAAACTAATAACAGCAAAAGTTTATTGTGGCTAAGCTTTGTGCCCCAGGCCTCATGTGCATTAGCTCTTTGATTTTATTAACTTTTACATAAACCTTAAAAGTTAGAATGCTGTTTCTGCTCCTCCAAACCTATGACCATAGTCTAGTTTGAGAAAAAAAATCAGAAAAATTTTCATAATGGAGCATTCTACAGAAATCCTTGTCATCATTCCACAAAAAGTTGATGTTACCAAAAAATCGGGAGAGTCTGTGCAACTGTCCAAGAACAGCTAAGAAGAAACAGTGCAGAATGTAATAAAGGATCCCGAGTAGAAAAGAAACATAGAAAACTAAGAAATAATGGGATCATAGCAAACTAAGAAATAATGGGATCATAGCATATCATCTGCAAACAGGGATAATTTGAATTCCTTTCTTCCTATTTATATGCCTTCTATTTCTTTCTTTTGCCTAATTCTGGATAAAAAAATGCCAATATAATATCAAACAAAAGTAATGAGAGTGGGCACCTTATCTTATTCTAGATCTTACAGGAAACACTTTCAGCTTTTTTCCAATCATCATTATGTTGTCTGAGTTTGTCACTTGGTTTTGATTTCACTGAGCTACAATCTTTCTATACTAACTTTCTTCAGGGATTTATCATGAAGGGATGTTGAATTTTATCATTTTTCTGCATCTATTAATATTATCCTCCAGTTTGTTGATATGATTGAGACTGGCAAAACTGCATGTTCAAGTGTAGAAAATTGAAACTTGACCCATATATCTCACCCTGTACAAAAACAACTTAAAATGTGTCAAAATCATAAATGTAAGACCTAAAACTGTGCAATGACATGAATAAACGTAAGGAAAACAAATTAAGATACTGGTATAGACAATGATTTCTTGGATATGATATCTAAAGCACAAGAAACAAAAGCAAACATCTAGAAATGGGATTACATAAAATTAAAAAGCTTCTGCATAGCAAAGGAAATAATCAAGTGTGAACAGACAACCTACAGAATGGGAGAAAATATTTCAATTTCATCTTAGTAAAGACTAATGTGGAGAGTATATAAGGAACTAAAAAACTTTAAAAAAAGTCTAATTAGAAATGGGCAAATGATTCAAATAAAGATTTCTAAAAAAAGATACAAATATATGAAAAATTTTTCATTATAATTAACCATCAGAGAAATGTAAATTAAAATTACAACATAATATCATTTCACACTGGTTAGCATGACTAACATAAAAAAATAAATAAATGCTGGTGAGAATAAAGAGAAAATGAAGTATACACTGTTCTTTTGTCTTTTTGTGGTGTTCTCTAGTGTACATGTCAATTTACAAATTTCCACCTTTTTATATGGACTCCAGTTGTACTGGATTAGAATTCATTGTAATGACTTCATTGGTACTTGATATCTTTGAAGGTTCTTTACAGAAATCTGTATATTTGACTAAAAAATAATAATCAGGATTTCAAGAATTTATCCAACATCCAATTTAATTTAAACATGTTTATATAATAAAATTTCAAATTATAACTTTCTTCCCTGTGTTTTGTTATTGTCATTTCTTTATGATATTTCCTTATGAGGAAAATGTGCATATTATGTTGAACAACTCCAGTTCATGGGAGATTGTATATCATCCTCTCGAGCAAATAGGGGCCTGTAAGAAGTTCAGAGGCATTATTTCTATGACCAGTGGTTTAGAAATATGAAATGGGAAATTTAAGCAAATATTTCATAGTTCTTTAGATGAAAAAAGAAATATCCTCATGTGTTTCTTTCCCAGAGCCAGAACCAATTACTGACTAATTTTGAAACTACTTACTAGAACAAAAGTGATAATTTCACCTGGGGTTACAAGTGATAAAGGCTTTACTGTTTCATGACCAGTTTCCAGAGAAATCTAATTGGATTTTAGTGTATATAGATTTTTGTTAATTGAAAATATCTTTCTGGTTTGTACTGATAATTTCTTCAAGTTTTGTCTCATAGGCAATTTATTTCAAGGTCTCAGTTGAAACACTTAAATGATCTACACCCTAATTTAATTTTCTCTACTTTCCATTTTTTACATGTTGTCCTTTGGGTGGAAAAAAAAAAGTGGGAAGCCAAAAATTAAGTACCATTAAAAGATATGCTGGCAACTTGTGTATGAGCATATGATGCTAGTTAGTTTTGTGTGTGTGTGTGTGTGTGTGTGTGTGTGTGTGTGTGTGTGTCTAGGCACGTAATATTTGTTTCTTTGTACTTACTGAAAGTAAGTACAAAGCTTGCCATTGGAGAAAATGCCAGTTTATTGAGGAACAGCTCTGCATATTTATAGAGCCAGGGGCAGTTTGACAGTTATGACAGTTTAATGGTTGAACGGTTTGACAGTTGGCTGGGGTGCTTTCTGATTGGTGGGTAAGGATCACGTGAGCCAGCAGGGCTCACCATTGGACGGCTCTTCTGGGGGAAGAAGTCTTTGGAGATGGGGAAGTTAGTCTTTGGAGCCTGGGCGACTCCCAACATTTACGATGTTTCTATGAGCTCCATGGAAAAGAGACATACTAGGAAAGAAATTCAAAACAATAAGAGAATCATACGTTTGTTGACTTGTCTATCAGCATATAAACTGACTTTGGCTTAGGTAAAAATTTCAACTTTGGTGTTGGAAAGATCATCAAACTTTAACAATGTACTTAAAATTTGAAATATTTATTATGTAAAACTCATTATTTATTCTGATCTTGATCATCCTGGTTATATAAAATAAAACACCTTTTTATCAGGATAATGTTTAACTTAGGTAAGCCTTTGAGTTATAAAGAAACATGTATAAACATCTGTTGTATGTGTTTCAATTTTGCATATGTGCAATTTTATACTTGATGTTGTTCAGTATTAACATTTAAATCTTTTTGTTGAGAAGGGGAAAGGGAATACATATCTACAGATATTGTTGAAATATTTGTAATTTCCTCTTTAATATACTTTAATTTTGCTATTTCATGATTATCCTTTGGAATGTTTTTACATTTGTCATTATGAATGCTCTTTTGTTTCAAAACATTTCATAGAAAAATATTTATGCTTTCACTGCAATTTGTTTTTCCAGGAACTCAATTTTTATCAATGAAAAATCTTTCAAAAATTTGCCATT